TCCCTGAGTATTCGAGCCCATACCAAATGAAATCTCCAAAATCACAATGTTGATGGAAAAAAATGATGCTTAAAGGAATATTTTCTTCATTGTTGGTCTGCCAATCAAGCTGGACTCAACTGGAGTCAGGCACATGCTACTTATTCCGCCTCATAGCAACAAAAGTGCCAAAGCTAAAAAAAACAAAAACGCTTTGCCTCCAACACACTCTGGATTTTCAGCTGGCAGAAAACACTTTGGTGTATGGAAAAGTCTATATCGCAGCTCTGCACCTATACGCTGAGTGAAACTGCAAGCTTGCTTTTTTCCCCGTGTGTGTCACTGTTGGCGCCGATGACCTGACTGAACCACGCTGTTTTCCAGTCTCTTTTAAACACAGTCCTGCCCTCGTAAAGCAAAATGTGAATTTAGTGAAGATGTGCCATCTAAGAGCCTAAACAACTGCCCCGCAGTCTGCCGCAATGCTGTGTAATGTAGTGTGATGCAGCCTGGTGGTGAGGGGCCATTTTTCCAACATGGAGACAGACCCAAGTGGAATGGACCATATTGTAGGTTGAAAGTAATGCAGCATTAAGCATAAACACTCAGGAAGTGCATACAGTAGCTTTTTGATAAATGTGTTGACTTACTTTGAGATGTAAGAATAAAACAACCTGGTTCAGCATAAAAAAGTGCCTCACTTTTGATTTCCTTTTGTGGCGAAAGAGCTCCTGCTCATTGGAGACTGTAAGCTCTGTCTCTTTAGTCTTTACTTCAGATACAGTAGAAGAACTTAATGTTCTGCTTTGTTGAAGGAGGCACCGGCCAAAGTGGCCCAAACAAGCAGTTAATGGTGCACAATTTGCATGTGCAGGACAGTTTTGTGGCACACTCGAAGTCACGAGGTCATTAGGAAAAGGAACATTTTAGTCACGGGTACTGACACCAATCAAGACCAATGAAATTAACTCACTTTAACAGCACTCGAGCCATTTTGTGACACACGAAGCAGTGATATGCCACACAGCTGACCACAGTGTTCAGTCAAATAAGTTAAACTGCCCAACTTGACCTCAAATGACGCCAGTAATAATCATGAATATGATTTGTCTGGGTGCCAATCACTTGAATATGAGTGCAATTTTCCCGCACTTTGACCTGGCAGGCCTGCGCACATTCCCTTTAATTCTTGACAGGGAAATTGCACTGCTTTGCTTGATTATTACCACTCCTCCTACCTCACTTTTTCCTCCATGTAGGCTAAGTCAGGTTCAGGAGCAGTAATCACAATACCATTAAAAAAACATACCTGTATGTACCGAGGGCTTTGCAGAAGGGAGGGGGGGGGGGGGGGGGGGGGGGGGAGTCTAAGCTCTATGTGGTGTCAAAAAGTTTGTTTACCTTCTGGGTTGCTATAGTGAGGCGGTGTTTTCCAGTTAAAGGGCTCTGACAGGCACTGACTAGTGTAGTGCAGCTGCTATAATGAGCAGTTCCAGGTCTCGCTCTGATGTACATGCTTTTTGAAAGTGCTGTTATCCCGAGGTGTGACATCTTTGAATCCCCAGTAATCAACAGATGTATTTGTGTGACGCCTCAGGCCTTTGACTCTACTCTACCTCGATCCTTTCGACCATCTCTTTTTGTACTTGTGAGATGCAGCTGATTATTCCTGGTTTAAAAACAGCATACTGCCTGTGGGCTCTCTGCCTGCCTCTCCCACTTTCTCTCTCCCTCTCTTTCATTCATTTCTCGTCCTCCCCCTCCTCTTCTTTCTCCTGCAAACTGAAGGCAACCTCAGTGCCAATTTCATGGGAGGGTAGCAAGCAGCGCTGCAGAAATTATCCACTGCAAAATTGATCTAAACAATCGCAAAGTGGAACGGCAAGGAAAAGCAGGAGAATGAAATTGGGAGAGTCTGTTACCTTTTTGAACTTGCTTTATCACTGAGAAAGGGTTGGACTGCATTGCTTACAGGGAATGTCAATGGCTGTACTCACAATACTGTTTTTCTTAGGATTGTACAGTCTTCATACTGTACTGGAATAGTGCAGAATTTTAAACCTACCTTTTTCAAGAAAAACTGAGATATGATTACATCAAATTGCACAGGATTATGTGTTTCTGAAACTACACACACCAAATTATGTTAATGACCAGTTTACACAAAAGAGCTTGTTTTTTGTGAGCAGTAAACTGAACAGGCGTCATTGTCTTTTTATCTCTGAGCAGCTGAAATATACACTGATCAGGCATAGCTTTTTGTGCTGGTCCCCCTTTTGTCACCAAAACAGCCCTGATCCATCGAGGCATGGACTCCAATGCAACCCTAAAAGTGTATTGTGGAATCTAATTTTTAAGTTATGGAAGTGGACTTAAAGTATCATCCCACAGATGCTTGACTGGTTTGAGATCTGGGGAATTTGTAGGCCAAGCCAACACTTCAGACTCGTTGTGCTCCTCAAACCATTCCTGAACCATTTTTGCTTCGAGGCAGGGTGCATTATCCTGCTGAAAGACGCCACAGCCATCAGAGAATACCGTTTCCATGAAAGTGTGTGCACGGTTTGCAGCAATACTTAGGTAGGTGGTGCGTGTCAAAGTAACATCAACATGGTTGGCAGGACCCAAGGTTTTCCAGCAGAACATTGCCCAAAGCATCACACCTCTGCTGAGTTGCCATCTTCCCATAGTCTGGCATCTTGGTGCCAGGTGTTCCCCAGGTAATTTGTCAAGCCAGGAAAACTTCCTCTGTTGCTCATGTCCAGTTCTCACATGTCCATTCTTGGCATTGTTCCGCAGGGGACGGGGTCAGCAACCCGATATCCCACCCACTAACAGGTGGCATCATGAAGAGATAATCAGTGTTATTCACTTCACCTGTCAGTGATCGTAATGTTATGCCTTCTCAGTGTATATATGACCATCACTGGCCCAAATGCAATCGTAATAAAAAATGACTCACCATAAGAGTCGAGGAAACAGAAGCTCCCATAACGAACTCAGTTTAAAGAGTTCTTTGTGATGTTGAACAGGTCCTTACTTAAACTAACCAGTGTGTTAAGCCTAGTGAAATATTTAGCTCCCAAAGAGCTACATATTCTGTAGAAGCTGGTGGAGACCAAAAAATAAGCAATAAACAGAGTAAATATTGGACTTATTCACATGGCCCAGTGAATAATGCTGCTAAGTATCTGTTAGTTGCATAAATAAACAGCTGTTTACCTAAGACCTCAAATGTGCTAACCTAAAATGTGATAATATGTCAACAATGACTTTAGAACTTGTTTTGTTTCCAAGAAAATGTTATAAATATATTGAAAACTGTGGCTACTGCCACGGATAGTAGATACAAATAAAAAAAGCTCATTCAACGATATTTAAATACATTGTTTTAATGCATTCAGTTTTTAAGCCAAATACTTATTTTCAGGTATTCTACTTTCAAGAGTAAAAGTTTAATTTTACCCTAGATTTTTCCTTTCGTCTTTACTGGTCTATTTTTTCTATAACTGCCCACCCCCCCCCCACACACACACACACAGTCATGCACCCTCCTCTCCCGTTCAGCCTTTCTTTTTTCCTCCCCTGCCCTCCTTCCTTCTCCTCATCACTGAAGGTGTCAGGACTCTAACGCTGCAGTGCCATCTGGGCCGAGGCTGATAAAAGCTCATGTGCCGGTCCGGCGATGCCTGCAGGTCTGCCAGAAGCCAGCGAAGCCTGACTTTCAGAGGCGATGGGAGAGATTTGTGGCAGAAAGGAAGGAATGGCAAGCCGTGAACGTGCTGATCCAGCGCCCCCCACCCCCACTTGCCCTCCTCCCCCATTCCTCTGCACCACCTCTGTCTATCTGTCAGTCAGTCACTTGGCCCTGCACTGGCCTGAATCCTTACTTAGGAAAAGGCTCCTTTTTTGTTCAAGGAAAACCAACATGAGACAGGATGGCTTTTTGATCTCTCTTGTGGCTATTGGGAATTCTGTTTGGGTGACCTCTCTTTTGTGCCATATTATCCCAAACAGAGTGAGTTAGAATATGAATCTTCCACCATACTGTTAATTTTAGATAAGACCATGCTGTCGCTTTTTAGCACTTTTAAAACCAGACTTCCTTGCTGTCTGGACTGCTAACCTGCAAACTCCATTTCTATAAAAACACTGACAGATGTAGCTGCTTGTTTTGAAAATGTACTTGCTAGCTAGGTAGATTTTAATGTTTTTAGCCGCTACATATTTACAAGTGGTATCATCATGCTAGACAGCATAGGGATGCAGCAGCGAAACATCTGAATTGGCCATATCATTGCTGTTACTGGTTTATCAGTAAATAAGAGGGCATGTACGGGAAGCACACCTACTCTGTTTTGTTCTCTGTCAACATGATGACTTGCACAACAAGCTAATGTTGTTGCAGTGACCCAATGATAGCTTAACATCAATGCAAATGAGTAGGAAACAGGAATGATAAGACTGAAATGTCTTTTTCAGTTTGCAGCTTGCTAACCAGGGAAGATGCCGTGCTTTATGCCCTTTTTACAGTGCAGATTTCTAAAGGGTGGGTATGTAAAGATTGTTAATAGTTTCTGTAGTGACTAGTCTTCCTTGATTTTGTCTGTAGGAGCCTTGTAGGCTCTGTGGATGTGCATGTGTCCTTTGTGATTGGTTTTCTTTGCTGGCAAATTGCCACAGAGGAACTCTATTATTTAGTCTCGTCATTTGTCATCTTTCAGGGCAAATAGGATTTATTTTTCTATTCTTTTTTTGCTTTTTTAATTGATAATCATTGGGCGATTAAAGGAAACCATGCAGGGCACTCTTTTGCTTTGTCAGATCAAAGCAGAGATGTGCATGTTCGACCGTTTTTTTCTTAATAATGATAAAATGCCTCCTACGGATCGAAAGGTGAGAAAGGACATGCTGTTGATATTAAGGGTTACTATTAAGCTTATTGATTGAGGAATCAATGTAGTCAATGGAACGTATGACAACCGCAATAATGTGAGCATTTGTCTGTATTTGTTCAACAGGCCTGGACCTGAGACACGCCCAGGTGGTGGCGTTATCTACTGGCACCAAGTGCATCAACGGAGAGTATCTGAGTGATCAGGGACAAGTAGTCAATGACTGTCACGCTGAAGTCACAGCCCGACGAGCCTTGCTACGCTTCCTCTACTCCCAACTTGAACTCTTCGTGAGGTAAAAGCTTTATCTTCTGCTGTATCTTTAAAGCACACAGACATTTCCTGAGCACCGCATGTGCACATGCTACAGCTTTGAAATCTTTCAGCACCTGACACGGCCAGATAACATTTGCTGTCACTAGTTAGTTGGTTAACTTTAGCTTTTTTGCTGATCATTACACCGACTTAGAGAAAACTTCTGTTTCATCTTGAAAGTTGAATTTTTACCTTTGTAGGAGTTTGACCCACTGATTGCTGAATGTAAAATGACAATCAGCCTGTGAAATCATCTCTCTAGATCCAGGTGATTAAACCGAACGGTTCAAGCGAGACTTGAATTATTCAAAGTTTCATCATAAATCAAAGTCGATGTTAGTGTGCTTTTAAATGCAGCTGCAGAGCTGAGTTCATGGAGGCTGCAGCGCATTTAACACAGTGGTGCAATAAGTACACTTTAACTATTTGGATGAACATAAAAAAATCATGGAAAGAATTTCCACGTGATTAAATTGCTTTATTTTAGCATTATGTAATTCCGATATTCCAACTTAACTGAGTTGGATCAGCTAAATTAATTAATGATGAATAAACGTATTTAATGCAGTGGAGTCCAACTTAATTTAATTTAATTGATTCAACCCATGCAAAATACATTAGTCCAACAAAGGTATTTGATGCAATAAATCCAATTTAATGGATTTGGGACACAGCTCTCACTCCATCCACCCTTTTCCACTTGTCCTTATCAGGGTCGTGGGGGTGCAGGAGGTGGGGCACAACCTGGACTGGTCACCAGTCTATTGCGGGGAGAAAGTATATAGTACAACTATTAACACTCACATCTATGGGCAATTTAGAATCATTAACCTAACCTCACTAACTGCATGTACCCAGAGAGACACGAATACAGGGATAACATGCAAACTCCACCCAGAAGGCCGTGGCCAGTTTGTGGATTTGAACTCAGGACTAGGTGGTGCTAACCACCACACCACCAAGCTGTCACTCCATACGTAAAAAACAGTAGGAAAGCTATGATTACAGGGTTTTATACAGAATTTTCTTCATGTTTTGGTCCTTGACAGGTTAGGCCACAATAAAGAGCAATAGCATACACCTGGTGTGTGTATGCTTGATTCTCCTGTGGTTTGAAATGTCACATGATCTCACGAGTCCAGGCACCTAACAACTCCTACTAGATTGCATCACATGATCTCACTAGAATAAATTTAACTAGTGTTAAGATGTTAAATGTCATGCAGAGTGTACATAATTTAATTACATTCACCATAGAAACATAAAATTATTTTGAAAGCAGAATAAATGTAAATGTAGCAACTGTCCAATTTCACTTTCTTGAGTGTACTCGAGTGAAAAGTAGAAATGCAAAAAAGACAAACAAGTGTTCAAAATTCCTTCTTCTGAGACTCCTGGTTACACAATTTCACCGAATGGGAAACTTTGAGTCAAGAACCACAGTAACTATTTCACAACTTCTTTTCCACACCTAGTTTCACAGTTATTGAAACCTCCTTGGAACTCAACACCCAGAGCTTTACAAGTGTTTTTACATCTTTGCCCCAGTTTATGCCTTGATAATTTCATACTGGGCATTTACAGAGTTTTTTTTTTAAGTTTCAGGACTTTTTATTTTTCCTGCCATGCAGTCTGAATGCAGGAACAGCATATATAAGGGTTTCTAAAATGTATCCAAGCCTTTCGAGACTCATCTAGAGGATAATATTGAGTGGCACAAAAAAGGGTCTGAATGTCTAAAATCACTTTGTAATTGTGGGATTTTAGACAAAGACTGATTTACAGGTTTTATCCATTTAAAACTGCATCTACAACAAACCAAAATAAAACAAAGCCTGAATTCTTTATGAAGAATTTATATGCTTCATCAAGTATAAAGTAGTAGCAACGTCTCTGCAAAGTGCACGAGGAAATATCTTACATTCTCGCAGTGACTTCACTTTAATCGCTAATTTAAACTCTTGCCAGCATGCTGCGTAGGCTTCACAAACTTGAGTTTCCAAGGCTCCTCTAACAGCTATAACAATGCATTACATTGCATTACTCATTACAGTATGCTTAACAGCATTACATGTTTTTGTTATGACCTCCCCCTGCAGTGCCAAAGCATGCTCTCTCCTCTGCAATAAGCTCCATGGAAACAGCACCGCTTTGAGACTTTTCAATAATCAACGAGCCATATGTGCGCTGTTCTCTTCAGCTAACTAAGCATACTATCACACACTCAACCGGTTCAGCTCCGTGTCTCAGTGGCCTGTTTGTTTTTAGTGCTGTTTTATCTACTTTGTGGGCATTTGCTACCTGTACAGCGCGCGCTGGTGCACACAAACTCACCAAGCTTTTCACCAGTATCACGAGACAGCCCTGACGAGTTTTGACTCCTAACTGCCTCCAGTGCATGAGCATATATTATGTTTTTGTGCTCCCCCAGGAGCTCGATTGCAAGGCTGATGTATCAGATTAGTGGATAGAAGTCTAGATGGCTGAATGTCATATTTGCATACACAGCACTGACTTTTTGTCTTAGCACAATGCTGGATGGCAGGTAGGGAGACTTTGCAGCTGAGCAAAATGGCTAATGGGGAAGATAACTCATAATGAAACGACCAAACAAAATGCCAGAACTGCCATATTTACACTCAGTGAAAGGACATCAGAAACAGAGGAGAGGTTATATAAAGAGTGCGGTCGTGCTTTGCATTATGGGGATAGTTTTTATATAGTACTGTATGTGAGTGATGACATCTTTATTCCTACACACAAGAAAAAAAATAGATGATTATTTCCTGTTTATAAGCATTTACCTGACTAACAGAAGGTGTTTTATAAACATAAACTGTCCTAAAACAATATTGGAACCTGCTGTTTTATCACTAATCTGTTTTCATTTAGAAAATGCTGCCATCTTTTCTTATGGATCAAGTATTTTAGAAATACTAGATTATTTCTATTTGATGCTACTTTATACTTGCTAGCCAGATGCTGATAATCAAATCTACTCAATTAGTTCATCATCAGCAACTGTCAAGCACGGCGGTGGAGGGGTAATGATTTGTGTTTATTTTAGCAATGGGACTTAGGCACCTTGCAGTCATTAAGATCAGCGGTGCCCAACCAGTTTAATGTCGGGCAATATTTTCACAGAACGGCCTTTAAGGTGTCACGGATAAACACAACAAAATAAAATGATACCACCAAGACAAAAATGTGGTATTTTGCAAATATAATAATAAACGTGAATTCAGTGTGTAATTGTGTAACTTTATTAGCAGCGTCCTCCTGAAATGCGCCAAAAACATTGAGAGGAACATCCTCTTCTCTGCCCCTTAATGCTCTCTGGTTGCTATGGTAACGTGTAAATATTTCTTTAGAAATACAGTCATGTGAGAAAATTAGGACACCCTATGAAAGCCTGTAAATTTTAAAATACATTTGGACATATAGATATTTAATTTACATTTTAACGATACTGAGGCATCCAAATAATATAACTAAACAATTAAAAAATAAGAAAAGCCTTTTTAAAACTTTATGTGAAATGTAATTTAAAAAGAATGTGATTTCTGGTGAGGAATAAATTAGGAAACCCCCACATGTTATCGCACTTAAAATGGTTAAAATCACACACAGGTGTATCACGTCAGGTGCACATGATCAGTACATTGTTACCCAGCATTTTAAGGGAACCTTGCTCTATTTAAACCTCAGATTGAGTTTAGTGTGCTCCTGACTGTTGTTTTTGTTTTGTTTTGTTTTTTGCCTGTCCCGTTTGGTTCTTTTGCCATCAGAATTATTGTCTAAAGGCGAAGAAAGATGCCCAACGGATTTACTTTGCCAAATTGACCATCCCAGCCTTGCCGTAATGGTCTATTTGATTCACCTTTTATTGTTTATTTTGTATTTTTATTTTCACTTGCTAGATACGGGACAGACTTGAATGAGGAAAAGAAAAGGGAGAAAGAAAGGGGGAAAAAAGAAAAAAAAACAGCGGAGAAGAGGGACGGGGATAAAGGGCAAAAAACAAAAACCAACAAAATAAGCAGACAAAAATACAAATATCAATCACCTGGATCACCTGTTGAGAAAGAAAAAAGAGAACAAGCATTTAACAAGGGATAGACAACATCATGATGATCTATGGGAATATAACAGTAAATACTAAGTGTTAAACATTATTGTGCAGCACGTAATATTGACAGCGCACAGTGTGCTTTAAGGTAGGAGCCAAAAAGGGTGTAGTTTGTGTGTGTGAGCACCCATGTGTACACCTGTGAGCGTGAGCGCGCTTGTATTTAAAAGGTTCCTTCATGTAATGATCTGCTAGAGGGTGTGGGGGAGCCACAGCCCCGTCCTCCAGGGCATGAAGCAGGTATGGAGGAGATCAAAACTCCAGACATCCAGAGGCCCCCAGAACACAAGAGACCAAGGAAGACCAACAGAGGGGCAGCCGCGCCACTGTCTCAGTAAGAGCTGAGGAGAGTCCCAGATTAGGGGTCACTCAGCAGCCGCGGAGCAGAAGCCAGGGGGGTTGCAGTGACGCGCCCGTGAGCTCCGCCGGCAGCCAGCTGTGCCTGAGTGACCGAGCCCCAGGCCGAGAGGCCGGGGGCACCCCACCTCCGAAGTGGCCCAAGCGAGCCCCAGGCTCCAGGCCCCGATAAGCAGCCACCAAGGAGTGAGCCGGTGTGTACCTGGGCGCCCACCCCCAGACACAAAGAACCACCAACGCACCGACACCTGAGGGAGTCCGCCACTGGCAGGGGAAGTGGTGGTAGGGGGAGATAGGCCTCCAAACCTTGGAGGGCCTGAGATGTCCCCAGAGAGGTGGCGTCTGACACCCAACCTGACATATAGACACAGACATACAGGCACACACAGACACAAACATCCATTCCCACCCTCATGCTCTAGTATGCAATTACTCAACACTCACCCAATGTGGAGACAGACATAAAGAGACGCTGTACACACGATCACACTCCCCAAGCGTACTCTACGAACCGGGTCTAGGTACCCTTGCCCCTGGAGGGGGAAACTGCACCCAGACCCAGGTGGTGTTACCCTTTTCCCTGCGGTGGGGAGAAGCAGACTGCCCCGACTCCGCAGCAGCAGGGAGGCCCCAAACTCCAGACCGCAGTCGGACGGCCAACTCCTCCTCCTAGCCCCCCCGCTCCAGCAGGCCGCCAAGAACGGAGGTGTGAGAAGACTCCAAACCTCCCTCCACCCGCTCATATGTAGTGTTGATGCATGTGTGTTCTAAGGTGCATTTAAAACCCAGGAGGGCATGGAGCTACCTGCCAGAGAGCAGCAGGTAAGCGCACAGCTAGGGATGGGTATCGTTTAGGTTTTATCCGATACCGGTGCCAAATCGGTACTTTTGAAATGGTGCCGGTGCTCAAACGGTGCTCAAACCGGTGCTTAAAGAATGGAGAACACAAAATTTGTCCAAAAACCTCTCATGTTCAGCTGTTTTTTGTAAAAAGATAACAATGTTAGCCTTTTCTGCAGCTATGGGGCATATATGGTATCACTCTTGGCTGGAAGCAGTGCTTAAACAATGGAAAAAACACAAACTTTGTCCAAAAACCTCTCATGTTTAGCCGTTTCCCTCTTTTTCTTTGGTCATTTTAGCCTTTTTAGCCAGGGTGAAGGGAGTATCTGCCATCAAACAAGAAGACAGCAGCATGTAGTTATGATGATGTTTGCTAGTTCACCTTACATGCATTAATGTAATAACGTGGTTAGCCTACTCAACGTAAATTAGCTACTCACGCAGAGAAGAACGGCTGCTGCCATCATCATCCTCATCATTTCTGCTACACTGGCAGGGCTAGGGGCCAGGACTCTCCTCTTCGTGTTTTTGGGGGATGTTGCATAACAGGCAACCCACCCGCAGTAGATGTGCTCGGTGTGAGGTCTCGCAGCAAGCTATCAAATACGGCGCATTTCTCGGCTTTTAAAAAAAACGCTATGCGTCGCCAGGTGTTTCATCAGATTCGAGGTGTTACCTCCTTTGACAGTATCACAGTATCAGCTTAAAGCACTTGTTGCTGCTGAGTTTGCATATTTTGCTGTGAAGTACAGCCAGACTTTTAACCGCTTCGCCTTGGGCATTTTTAATCTGTAGCTCTGCTCTAACAGAACGTACGTACCTGGCCCCACCTACTATCCTCGGAAACGTAAAATGATTGGCTAGAATCTAAAGTGTATCACAGCTCAGGAAAAAAAAGCACCGAAATAAAGCACCGAAATGTGCGCTGCTTTTCGGTCTGGTTACTACCGTTTATGTCAGAACCGGTGCCATCATGGCACCGGACACCGGTACCCATCCCTACGCACAGCCCCCCCGATAGCCCTCGATGTCTACATGTATTTAAAATTGAGAGGTGGGCAACAACGCCAGGGGTGAGGTGTACACCCTGATGGTAATTTGGAGTCTGTGTAGCGTGCCCACCCCCAAGATCCTATATGTATGTGTAATGAGAGTGTGAGTAATGTGAATGTCTAAGTTGTGAGATAAAATTGAGGCACAGGCAGCCAGAAGGGGACAGAGGGGGGAATGCCTCCCCTGCACCCTGGTGACACACCTTTACCCCAAAGCCCTGCATGTGTGGGTGATAGTGGTGCTCCTGACTGTTGACGTGTTGAATTGAGCGCCATGGTGAGATCTAAAGAGCTGTGTGATGCCCTCAGAAAGAAGATTGTGGCCGCTTATGAGTCTGGTTAGGCATTCAAAAAGATCTCAAAAGAATTTGACATCAGCCATTCCACCATCCAAATGTTTACAAGACATTCAAAACAACTGCCAAGATTCCCAGGGCTGGCCGTGCGAGCATATTCATCCCCAGAGCAGAGCACAAGATGCACAAAGAAGCCATCAAAAATCCTAAAATGTCATCACAGGAACTGCAGCAGGCTCTGGCTACTGTCGATGTGAAAGTGCATGACTATCAGAAAGAAACTACACAAGTTTGACTTTCATGGTAGGTGTGCAAGGAGGAAACCTTTGCTCTCTAAGATAAACATTAAGGCAAGACCACGACTTCTGGAATAATGTTCTTTGGACGGATGAATCTAAAACTGAATTATTTGGGCACCAGAACAGTAGACATGTTTGGCATAACCAAATACAGCCTTCCAAGCAAAGAACCTTATACCAACTGTGAAGCATGGAGGTGGCAGTATCCTAGTTTGGGGATGCTTTGCTGCAGCAGCACCTGCAGCTCACCATCATAGAATCCATCATGCATCTGACTGTGTATTGGGGGGTGCTTATAGAACATGTGAAACCATCTGTTAAAAAATTAAAGCCGAAGTGGAACTGGACACTGCAACATGACAATGACCCAAAGCATACCAGCAAATCCACCAAGGACTGGCTAAAAACTAAGTAGAGAGTCCTGGAATGGTCAAATCAAAGCCCTGATATTAATACCATTGAGATGCTGTGGGGTGACTTGAAACATGCTGTACATGCAAGAAAACCCTCAAACATCTCACAGCAGAAAGAATTCTGCGTTGAGGAGTTGCCCAAACTTGCTTCTGATGTCAGAAACTGGTAAAAGGCTACAAAAGGTATCTCACTGAAGTTATATCAGCCAAAGGGGGCAACACTGGTTATTAGGGGGTAGGGTATCCTAACTTTTTCCTCCATTAAAATACACATTTTTGTTCATATCTTTTTTTTTTGATGTGTAATTTTTTTTATTTTTGTTGTTTAATTGCAATTAAGTCACTTTCTTTTCCAGTAACACATGAAAACATGATTAGACATTGATATGTGAACATTTCTTAATAAAGAGCTGATTATTTAATGGGGTGTCCTAATTTTTTCACATGACTGTAAAACACACAACTACAACACGGGAAAAGACCCCGGGAAACCATAAAACCATAAATTTCACACCCGAGCCTCAACTCTTGCGGCCTGGTACCAAACGACTCACGGACCGCCGCCGGTCCATGGCCTGGGGGTTGGGGACCGCTGATTAAGATGGCCATAAACTCTTCTCTATGCCAGAGTATTCAGTTGTATTCACATGAGACAAATGTGAGGCTGTCTGTCCAGCAACTACAGCTTGGCTGAAATCGATGTCATACACGATAACAACCTCGAGCAAACCAGCAAATCTACAACAGAATAGCTGAAAAACAAAAGACTTAAATTTTTGAATATGTGTATGACAAACTTAAGAGAACAAACCTCAATAAACTGAAGCAACAGTGTAAATAAAGTGTAAAGAAGAACTGGCAGAAATTCCTGCACAGTAATGTGAGGATCTGCTAAACTCCGATTATCATTACTGCAAGTTATTGGTGCTAAAGGTGGTCCTACAAGCTACTGAAGCATAGAGTGCAGACACTAGAACATATGGACTACACATCAACCTTTCACAATCAGAATTGGTTATGATCATAGCTTGTTAGCTATACACGACTTCTACTAATGTTAGCCAAACAGTCCACCAGATACCTGGGACAGTTAGCACATATTACACAGAGCAACTAATTTGTGATTTGAAACAGGAAGTGCTAAAGTCACGTGATAAGGAAAGCTCCAGTCAATGGATGTTTGTTGTATAATTCCCCAAATATAGCGGTCCACAGTGGCTGCTGTGGCCATGTTGAGCTGCTGCTGCTGAACACAGTTTTGCAGTTTGCTTTGTGGGCTCCACTCCTGGGATCTCTTAGTTCGTCTATCTTTTTTAGCCCACTCGTGTTTTTCATGTTACATGAATTTTGTCTGAGTACATATAATCAGTGCCTATCTAACAACTTCCTGTTAATGGACTCAAACCCATGCTGTACTTTTTTTTCATTTTCTGTACATTTGTTTTATATGAAATGATATTTACTTCGTTTGGCCTTCACAATGGCAGTGTCGTGACTCAAAGGTGTGTACTTGCCAACAGGTTAAACTCATTCCCCTGTTTGCTCTGACTATTATGGGCAGCAAGAGTAATGTCCAGGACTCCGTCTGACAGAGGAGAATTGTCTGTGGTCAGAGAGAGGGCCAGTGTCCATCTCTGTCCATGTCAACTCACTTCATCATTGGAAAAGAAAAGTGCAGATCTGTGTCCTTTGCTGTGATAAATGCTTCTACCTTTCTCATCAATCTCCCTCCTCCTTGTTGTCTTTTCCCTTTTATGCTGCCAAAGTAAAAGGCCGGAGGACTGGGAGGAGTCGATATTTGTACACCACAAAGAGTGCGGCTACAGGTTGAGAGACAACATCCATTTCCACATGTACATCAGCACCTCGCCGTGTGGAGACGGGAGGCTCAACTCTCCATACGAAATCACCGCTGACCGTAAGAAACCCTCCCTTTCTGTTTCCTTGTTTTCCATAAAGTCGACATAATTTAATGAATAAAACGCAGCTATTTTAATACACATACAGTGGGGCAAAAAAGTATTTAGTCAGCCACCGATTGTGCAAGTTCCCCCACTTAAAATGATGACGGAGGTCAGTAATTTGCACCAAAGGTACACTTCAACTGTGAGGGACAGAATGTGAAAAAAAAATCCATGAATCCACATGGTAGGATTTGTAAAGAATTTATTCGTAAATCAGGGTGGAAAATAAGTATTTGGTCACCTCAAACAAGGAAAATCTCTGGCTCTCACAGACCTGTAACGTCTTCTGTAAGAAGCTTTTCTGTCCCCCACTCGTTACCTGTATGAATGGCACCTGTTTGACTTCATCATCTGTATAAAAGACACCTGTCCACAGCCTCAAACAGTCAGACTCCAAACGCCGCCAAGGCCAAGACCAAAGAGCTTTCGAAGGACACCAGGAAAAGTATTGTAGACCTGCACCAGACTGGGAAGAGTGAATCTACAATAGGCAAGCAGCTTGGTGTGAAAAAATCAACTGTGGGAGCAATCATCAGAAAATGGAAGACATACAAGACCACTGACAATCTCCCTCGATCTGGGGCTCCACGCAAGATCTCATCCCGTGGGGTCAAAATGATCATGAGAATGGTGAGCAAAGATCCCAGAACCACACGGGGGGACCTGGTGAATGACCTGCAGAGAGCTGGGACCAAAGTAACAAAGGTCACCATCAGTAACACACTACAACGGCAGGGAATCAAATCCCGCAGTGCCAGACGTGTTCCGCTGCTGAAGCCAGTGCATGTCCAGGCCCGTCTGAAGTTTGCCAGAGAGCACATGGATGATACAGAAGAGGATTGGGAGAATGTCATGTGGTCAGATGAAACCAGAGTAGAACGTTTTGGTATAAACTCAACTCGTCGTGTTTGGAGGAAGACGAATACTGAGTTGCATCCCAAGAACACCATACCTACTGTGAAGCATGGGGGTGGAAACATCATGCTATGGGGCTGTTTTTCTGCCAAGGGGACAGGACGACTGATCCGTGTTAAGGACAGAATGAATGGGGCCATGTATCGTGAGATTTTGAGCCAAAACCTCCTTCCATCAGTGAGAACTTTGAAGATGAAACGAGGCTGGGTCTTCCAACATGACAATGATCCAAAACACACCGCCCGGGCAACAAAGGAGTGGCTCCGTAAGAAGCATTTGAAAGTCCTGGAGTGGCCTAGCCAGTCTCCAGACCTCAACCCCATAGAAAATCTGTGGCGGGAGTTGAAAGTCCGTGTTGCTCGGCGACAGCCCCAAAACATCACTGCTCTCGAGAAGATCTGCATGGAGGAATGGGCCAAAATACCAGCTACTGTGTGTGCAAACCTGGTAAAGACCTATAGTAAACGTTTGACCTCTGTTATTGCCAACAAAGGTTATGTTACAAAGTATTGAGTTGTATTTTTGTTATTGACCAAATACTTATTTTCCACCCTGATTTACGAATAAATTCTTTACAAATCCTACCATGTGGATTCATGGATTTTTCTTTCACATTCTGTCTCTCACAGTTGAAGTGTACCTCTGGTGCAAATTACTGACCTCTGTCATCATTTTAGGTGGGGGAACTTGCACAATCGGTGGCTGACTAAATACTTTTTTGCCCCACTGTATAATCCATTTTACTGCTGCCATTCTCTCAGTTTCTCAGACAGTGTCTTACGTTATAAAGAGATCATTTTCTCTGGCAGACTTTCTGAAAGCCACCGCTCTCCTTGTATTATTTCACAAGAAGCTGCCATCCTTTTCATGTCACATTCTGTCTTTGGCCTCTTTTCAGTTGCACCGTGCTGACTAGATGACATTTTATTGCTTACCTACTGAATATAAATTGTATATTCATTTAGATGGTTTGCCCAGCAGTTTTCTGGTGGCCTACGAGTTCAGAAATGTAATCTGGTCCTTCGCTGACTGACGCTGCTTTTTTAAGCCCTGCGAGTACATGCTACAGCGCAGTGAAATTTTCATGAAACCAGCACTGACGGAAAGAAAGAAGGAGAAAGGCTGTCATTAGAGAGAGCTTTTATACTTTTTAGGCATTAAACCTTTTAAATGTAATTCTGTGCGCTCTCACAGATTACAAAATTACCGAGCACCTTTTCCTGACAGTTCTTAAACATTTCTGAGTTAGAAGTCGGCGCTTAAGTTTTAGCTGCTGTCAGATCAGCCGAGGAGGAGAGAGGAAAAGGAAGAGCGTGTCACTGTGGGGTTTAAAGTTCAAGAAAGGAAACCAAAACAGCGATTGCATATGTACATTTGGTCAGAGTGCAACGAAGGCGTATATATTGCTATAGAGTGTCACAGGGATGACACGCAGCGAGAGCTACAGCGGTACGGGGAGAACATGCAAACTGCACTCAGGCATGATCCAAACAGTAAGAAACATTTGACTTTAACTACCACTGTCAGCACCTGTGGAGGTCATGCTAGACTGCACGCCCACGCTAAACTAGGTGAAATTGTCTTAAATGGATCAAGGAACTTGCGCTCTTGCTAACAGTGTCAATAAAGCAAGGATTTCTCTGTCAGTTTGAATAAAATAAAATAGAAACTTTCAAAAGGGCATCGCTCCAGGGAGAAGGCTACCTCCTCCCTCCCAAAAATCACAGCCCACGCATTCATAAACAGTCCAGTCACGTGTTTGCTTCATTAGCAGTAAGGAAGCAGGCAGTTGCAAACTAATACGTTTAATTCCCTACTCCAAACTTTAAACTTGCATATCAGTAATGTTTTCTTGTTTATCTGCTTTTTCTGTTATACCTTTTGAAAGTACACAGCTTCATACACACAGATTGTAACAGCTGAGAGCTTTGCAACTCATGCAAACAATTCATCTCCTACTTAAGACGTGCTGTATATTTGCATGTAATGTATTTAAAGACATATTGGAAAACCCTCTTGACTGCTGAGAGATGAGATCTGCGACTTCAGTACTGGCAGACTGCATGACGCTGGCTGGCGTTGTGTAGTAAGAAATGATTTTGTAAAGTAGTAAAACTGCGATCGTGCGCATTATTCTTTCAGTGCACAGCAGCAGACACTTAATGAGGAAGCATCGGAGTCACCTGCGGACTAAAATCGAGTCAGGCGAGGGGACGGTGCCGGTGCGTTGCCGGGGACCCGCCCAGACCTGGGACGGTGTCCTTCAGGGTGAACATCTCATCACCATGTCCTGCACAGACAAGCTCACCAGGTCAGTGCGCTCACGTGTTCCCAACATTTCCTGCGCTTAAAGTCGCATTTTCTTGTGTGTGTCCAGAATAACACACACATATCCTGCATCCATTCTTTTTTTACATCCACCAAGAAGGTTGTGGTTTTGGTTGTGTTTGCATGCGCGCCATCATTCTGTCTGTAAACACGATAGATTGAAAAGTTTTGAATCAATTCCTGTAAAACCTTGTAGGCATGTCAAGTGGTGTCATGTTAACAAGCCAATCAAATTTGGTTTATATCCGCCAAAGTCTTCAAGATCAACTTAATGATTTATTTGTCAACAAAAAGCCTTATAACTTTGAAACTATGATTCTTACAAGTGGGTCACATTTGACCTCTGACCTCATTTTTTTCTTTCGACTTGGCTCCAAGTATTCTCAAGAAAAAGAGAATAATTAATTAGTTAGAAATATTCTGTACTATTATATAATTTAATGAGCTCAAGGAATTCATTTCCAGTTATTATACATACATAATGTTTGTGTAATCACTGTAAACAGCTGCCATGCTGTTCTTATCTGATTTTTACCTGCATTACAAACTTGTTCAAGTATGTTTCGAAAGAACAAAGAAAACAATTAATATATACAAAATACAATACTGTTGCCTTAAAAGTCCATTCTGGCCAGAGAGTGAGCTTCCTTGGCAGAGCTTTCCCTCACTGCCCTCGCCCACTCTTGTTGAGATTAAGTAGGTTTGTCTCACAGGTTTTAGTTTTGACTTTTGGTGATAGATACACTTTTCAAAAATTGCTACTTTTGTTCAGTTCACAGCTTTGACTCATAATTTGTTTTTATGCCTCATTTATTGAAATCATAATCGAATTATATGAGTGAGCACTGCAGTTATTACTGCATGGATTGTGCTCGTTTAAAAGAGAAAAGAAAAGATAAAAAAAAACAGCTCACCCCCTTCACCCGGGAGATGTCTGGTCTACTTAAGAAATGAAAGCTAAAGTGATTGGTGGAAAGGTTAACCTTATTAGGAGATTACCTTCCTTATGAGAAGGAAAGATCTCTGTTTAAATAAAGCACTTTTAGATGTGATGTAAGGAGAGGGTTCTCTGATATTTACCTAATGCATCAGTGTGTGTGTGTGGGATGGTGTGTTAACATGAGCTGTGCACAGTGAGAAATCTTTTGTAGTCCGGGGGGGGGGGGGGGGGTGACTATTGATTTCCCATATGTGACTTGAATAGCTAATCCCATACTAATGAATTAGTGTATTAATCGCGGCTTTGTTTAGATCTGCAGTGCTGCCTGTTATTTAGCTAACGTATTAGTCATACAATCCTTTACACACTGTGGTGTATAGTTGGTAAAGGCTGCTATGACTAATATTCCAAACTCAAGGCTTCTGCAGCCCACTTTAGGGACAGAGAAACCTCTGTGGTCTGCCCAAACCCGTAATTACCCGTCTTCTGTTCTCACACTTGTAAAAACCAACAATAGGTGCTCGCTTTTTGTTGCTACTTCTCTTCGTTTTCATAGATTAATTTTGCTGTTGCTGTGAGCTGCTTGTTGATAATAATTAGCCATGAAAGACTTTTCTTTTGCCACCTTTTCAGTACCATTTCTCTAAAACTGATGAATTCTTCTGTCAGTTACAATTTCCAAACAATTAAGTGAAATAGAAAATAGACCTCATGTCAAAAACTGGTCAAATAAATGAAAATTAATGCACAATTAAAATGGTCTTCATTGTAAATATTAGATTACTCACCTAGCCCACCTGAAGTGTTGGTTCTGGACTGCAAATTTTAGCATTGATCTGATGCCAAGTAAATACAGGGCTACTATTGCCGATACCAGTACCGATACTTTAAAATGCCCAATTCCAAGACCAAGTTATGATTTATGAGATGTGTAATTTTCAATTTGAGCACAAAATGGCTGTGATGATTTTTACTTTCCGTAATAATAAGTTAAAACAATAAAACACACTTTTAGGCTTTTTATGTGTATTTGAGACCTAGGATGTAAATAAGCTTTTGGTCAGATTTTGTTGTTTATCATGCTATAGCCTATAAATAAAATAGACATCAATCGTCAGTCAACACTGACACGTTTCATTAAACATGTTTGATGTAAATTTTTTCTTTTCTAAAAAAATATTTAATACAATTTATTGGGCTATGTACCTAAGTTAAAGGATAGAAACAAAGTATTGACACTTTCGCAGTATCGATCTGATATCAATATCAGTATCGATACCAATACCAGTACTGCCCATCTCTGACCTGTAGTGCCGTCACAGCCCACTAGAGGGCAGCAGTTTACAGTTGAAAACTGGTTTTAATCACTTCTAATTTATTGATTTCTCTTATTCCTGGCACAACAGTGTTAGATTAAAACAGACTCAGTAATATATGATGAGAGAGCAAAACTACTATAGAACCCATGTCCACATGTTGTCAGGCCAGTTTAGGACAGATGGCCACGATACATCAGGACAGCTTTACACTTCTGCCTCCAGCTTCACGCTGTCCTTGTGTGAAGAGTGGAGGCTTAAGTGTGGTCACACTGGAGGCTGCTACACATATTCAAAAAACGTAATAATGTTAAATATATTTCCAAATACATTGCAAATTTAAAGTGGTGAGGTGGTATTAGAGGTGATAAGTGATTATAATGATTCTAATAGTAAATAAATCTGTTATTATTATGGCTGTGCTCAGTTTCTGCTGCAACATTCAGATGGTGGGGTCAGAATTTTGCATAAACATCATGAAAGCATGGAGCCATCCTGTGCTGATGGTGGTGCAGTAGTGTGGGGATATTTGCCTCCTTTATACACCACCTGGATGGCCTGGCAGAGGCCACAGGCTAAAACACGTTGATCGGGTAATAAAGTCATTCTTCATACCACTAGTGGTGGAGCTTCGGCCTCTTTAGATTATTGCTCTTCCCCAGTGCACCTTGGAAGCAGGTGAAGTTGTGCCAGAAATTTCCTTTGTGCTTGCAGCAGGATAAAATGCTGTGTCACAAAGCTCAAATGTTCTTGAACATGACAGGCAGTTCATTGAGATCTCAGTCCAGCAGAGCGCCTTTTGGATGTGGGGGAGCAGGAGATTTGCTAAATGCATGTGCAGCTGAAGAATCTGCAAGCACCTGTGTGATGCTGTCATGTCAACATGAACCAAAATCTCTGAGGAATGTTTCCAGCATCTTACTGAACCTAGGCCACGAAGAGGCTTTTGGTAGCCGAATAAGCTGTTTGGCATTGGCAGAGAAATTTGGCAAGTTTTTCATGGGAGCAACCAACAAATGCATTTCCCTTACAAATGTGGCACCATTTAAGGAAAAATAAACTTTCACACATGATAAGATTTATTGCCAAGAAGCATCGTTACAACAAAGTAATAATCGCTCAAACACAAATTTCTTTACTTTTTACATGTCACAAACAGTTGATTGTCTCCAGTAAAGCCATTCCTTCCCACTGAAATACTCCAGATTTGCTAGCACGGCTAAAAACATTCACCGCTGTACCGAGTAAAGAAATTCAACAATTGTAATTCTTCTCTTCTACACCTGACGTTCTCTGAAATATCTGAAATCAATTTTTAATATAGTCTCAGTTGTTCTGCTACGATTCTGCCTCAACAGGAGCCGAACCCGTGAATTTAGCTTAGTAAGCACCACGCTGTGCCAGCTGAGCCGTACAGGACTACAGCTGAGCCGCTGCTGCGCGCGCGTGTCACAGACACAGAGAGAAAGAGAGAGCGCACGAGCGGAGAGGTGAACCCTTCTCCTGTGTAGCCGCTGTTAATTTGACCAATTTGATTCAGTTGGCCAGGGGTGGAGATGGTGTGATTAAATCTACCCAGGTCACCAACAGGGGTGAAAGCAATTACTTTACAAAAAAATAGAGTGACGGGGGAGGGAGAAGGGACAACCCTGCTTTCCTCCCCCACCGCCCACCCGCTCACCACCTTCTTCACCACATCCCGCCCGGCCAGACAGCAGACGCGCTCTCACTGCTCCACAGCTTCCTCTTTCCTCTTTTTTTATATCGCTGTAAATGATCGGTGGCCATCGTTAAACTGAGTGGGTCACAGAGGGCCAGTTTATCAAGGTCAGGAGTGGAAGGTGGAAGTGAGAGGAGCTTAGAGCTACAGAGTGAACACACACACACACCAGCACACACTGCAATCTTAAAGCAATCCCCTGGATACTCTTTTTGTCCTCTGTCACGCTCATTTTGCAACCTCCCATTACTTTTTTATTCCCCTCCACTTCCTCCCACTTCCTGCACTTTATTATCGTTAGTTCAGCTTTTGACCAGAGGGGATATTAGGATCTTTGCTCTTATCATAAACACAGCTGATAACAGTGGCCGTTGCATCGCCCGCCGATTGTCGTCGTGTTTTCTTAAGGCCGGGGCCTCGGTGAAGATTCTTCACTAATATTTGATTCGAAGCCGACAGCTGGATTTAATTGAGGGGCCTAAATGGCTTTCATATAACGATGATGTTCTCCATTCCACCGCAGTTTTATGCAGATGAACACATTACTTTAATGGTCGGCGTTTACTGAGGGTGGGAGAGAGAGAGAAAGAGGAGGTCCTCTCCCTCTCCTCTCTCTAGATTCACACGCCCAAGCCAGATGGCTGTCTTTTCTTGCATGAGATTAGAAGATGTTTCTGATTCACGGTGTCGCTTTCTGGGTAAATTAATATTTCAGGCTAAAGTATTTTCTGTTTGGGCGTGCGCGCGTTGCTTTTTGAACAAAATTCCTCCTCTCTGTTTGGGAAGGAAGGACAGATCTTGGTGACAGATTGCAGGTAAAGCAGAGGCGGGCGGGCTGCTGCTTTGTGAGCCCATTTAAGTGATTCCCAGAAAGCCGGTGATGTTAATTGACTGCTTGGGGAAGCAAAGGAAGCTGTAATGAGTGATTATTAAGCTGGGAAGGGGTGGTGGGGGGATGCGGGGTGTAATTGCATCCATGATAAGGAGACATTGATTAACAAAAAGAACAGTGATGTAAAAATTAGAAGCCTCCGATGTAACTCCAGCACAGCTCAGGTAAACAGCAGGATTCCTCCTCATTTATGAAGGGCAGGGATTATAATAAACACGCTAATTATCATTCTATATGTATAAATTAGCATCTGCTGCTGGCTACACTTTGAGGTGCCCACGTGGCCTGCGGGATTAGCCCCACAGTGATTTTGTGTCACTTGTGGCTCGCTAAACAAACCACAAGGAGATCCGCATGCAGCGAGCAGTCGACTGAGGCTTTCCTGCAGCCCTGCAGTGTATTAACCTCCGTGGCACTGATGAATGCACACGTGGTAATGTGTTGTTCCAGGTAATGAATGCTGATGTACTGACCTTTGGCGGTGTTGTTGTTGGTGATGACGGTTTGTGTTTCTGGGGGAAGAGGACGTTTATGCGTGAAGAGCGTGTGTGGTCACTTGCTGCTATTCATCACGTCCCACATCGAGATAATGATCAAATTGTCTCCACCTGTCATCAAAGCTCTCACACCTGCCTCGTTGTCTCGTTTTCCCCACTTTGCCTCTCTCTATCCACCACTCCACCCCTCCATCTCCTCCTTCTATTTCGTATCTTTGGCCAACTGTTGTGTTTCGTTTCTCCTTTCACCCACACACCTCATCCTACACTCACACCTTCGCCGACGTTTTCACGAATGCTGTTCCTTCCATCCTTTCTCCTCTCTTCCCTCCTTAACTTCTTCTCTCTTTTCTTCCTCCCACCTCCTCCCTACCCCTAGATGGAACATCCTTGGCCTGCAGGGGGCATTGCTGAGCCATTTTGTGGAACCAGTGTACCTGCATAGCATGACCGTTGGCAGCCTGCGTCACACGGGCCATCTGGGCAGAGTTCTGAACCAGCGTCAGGAGCGCCTGGGCCCACTGCCTGCCACATACAGACGCAACCAGCCCCTGCTCAGCGGTATGACCACAACATAATCAGCCACACAGCAACTCTGGGCAGTAGCTGTAAAATACACTCATAAATACACTCTATGCACTTTGGGAAGTCTCCACACAATAGAAAGTGACACAGTAAAAAAATCTTTTCAATATACTTTTACTTTTTGCTTCTGATGTAGCACATAAAGGTCTGAGGGTTTGTTTTTTTTTTGTCTGCTTTAAGTTTGGAGCTTCTTTGGGTGGCATTGCTTTAAACAGGTCCCAAATGTCAAGATTGTGATGTTCATTATAATTGAAAACTACATGGAAAAAAATACCTGATGTGGGGGATCTAATCCAATGTAGCCCACTGGATTTGGACTTTGCATTTTAAAATTTCAGTGTTAGCATTATAATAATAATAATAATAATAATAATAATAAAACATTTTATTTGAGGGCGCCTTTCTAAAACCCAAGGTCACCTTACAAAGAGAAAAAGACATCAATAAAACACTTGATTAAAATAGATTCAAATAAATTAAAATACAGAAACCAGCAAAATACAGCCACAAACAACAAAATTAAAAACACACACAAAAAAAAACTACTATTTGCCAGCAAGTAAAATCTGTATTAAAGAGAGTAAACCAGTTTAAACAAGTTGGCTTTGAGTTGTGATCTATATTTCTTAAGGCTGAAGGAAGTGAGTTCCTCTGTGACCCATAGTGATAAGACGAGCAGAAGGAACAACTCTGCTTGTCTCGTGTTTCTATGGTGTATTGATAGTCATGTGCTTTTGTGCTGAGGTGTTTTTTCTTTTATCAAACTGTTCTCCCACTAGGAGCTCAGTCTGAGTGGAGTTTTTTTTTCTCCTCCTCTTACCTCATGTAGTGTATTTTCGTTGTTTTTTTCCTATCAGCCTACCTTCTGACATGTCTGCCCAATGTGATGTTTGTGTAAAGTTGGTCAGAAGGTTCCTTTGTGAGTGCGCATGCGCCATTAGCGTGCTGCCTGCTGTAACCCCTAATTTCCCTCGGGATGAATAAAGTATTCTGATTCTGATTCTGAAGATGAGTGGCAGATGAAGATCTGAGACAGCGGGAAACTGTAGTGATATGAAGCAGATCACAGAGATAAGAAGGGGCAAGGTTATGAATACACTTAAATGTGAGAACTGATATTTTAAAGTTTATCCTGGCTTCTAGGGGCAACCAGTGAAGCTGTTGAAGAATTGGAGTTATATAGTCTCTTAGGGGAGTTACGAGTTATGACCCGAGCTCCAGAATTCTGAAGAAGTTGAAGTTTATGGAAGGACTTACTGGGGAGACCAAATAGGAGGGAGTTGCAATAATCGATCCGGGAAGTAATAAGACTATGGACAAGGATGGGGAATAGGGAATAAGGAAGGGACGAAGTCGGTTAATGTTACACAAGTGAAGGTATGCAGACCGGGCTTTGTAAAAAATGTGAGACTGAAATGAGAGAGTACTGTCAAGTATGACACCCAAACTCTTTACCTGCGGGGAAGGAAGGATGGGGGATTTTCAATATTAATGGAGAAACTGTGAGATTTGGTTAAGGTAGAGGCTGTGCCAACGAGTAACACTTCTGTTTTATTACCGTTACGTTTGAGAAAATTGGAGGAGAACCAAGATCTGATCTCCATAAGACAGTTCAAGAGGGAGAAGGTGGAAGGGATGAATTAGGTTTGGAGGAGATGTAGAGCTGGGTGTCATCAGCATAACAATGAAAATTGTATTATATTTTCAGAATATTTGGCCGAGAGGGAGCATGTCGATAATGAATAACAGAGGGCCTAATACTGAACCCTGGGGCACGCCAGCAGAAACAGGATAGAGACTTGAAGAGTGGGATTTAAATTGGATAAACTGACTGTCCTGTTAGGTGGGCTATGTTCAGCCTAGTGTTCTTGGGTTATGCCTGTAGTCCTCTCCACCTACACCCTGTCATCCATATACAGTCAGATCGTGTTTCAAAACCAGTGTTTTGTGGGCCAAAATGACAAAACCAAGGCTTCAAAATAATAGTCCATTAACTTTATTGATAACTTTAAAGTCTATGGTAGGATAAACATGTAGGTTCCTCTTTCAAGTGTAAGAGCAGAAGCTAGCTAGCTTGATTAGCAAAGTACATTCATAGCTCCCAAGTTATTCTGATATTACTTTGGATACTAAAAGTAAATGTTTGAGTCTCCTGTAAAGAGATCTTCAATGTGGATTAACTCACTTTCGGAAACAACAGGTTGTTTCTTGGGAATACCCCTAAAATATCCTTAAACACAAGCACCAGCCTGTAGCCTACTCACCAAAACTGTTAAAACCCACTAAACATGTATTCTGTGCTTGGATCACTTTCAGCCTTTTCTGTATTTCCTCTTTTCAGCTTACAGTCTGCTTTCTATTCTCACCCTGCCTTCATATAGCGACTTACCCACACATGCTTAGAGATCTGCACTACATAAATGTCCTCGTGTACAGTACTCTGTTTTCACGTATTCTTTTTAAGGAATGTCAGCTACAGGCGCGATGCAACATAACAGATCATATGTTACACCCCCTTCTCACGCACACACAAACACACATTCTCGCACTCTTAGCAAACTCGTACACCACTTCTTCTCTACACTTACATTTTGCCAGTCAGACAAGCAAAAACTAAGAAGTTGTTTGGCGCGTCTGCTTCCAGGGCTCCGCTGAGACTCGAGGCTTGTGTTTGTAGTGAGGATGAATGCTGGAAGAGGATGTGAATGACACCCAACTGGTAGAAACTGCATCAGCCATCACTTCAGATCTAGGCCAGGCAGAGCCGCTGAGCGACAGGCACGCACAGAGATGTAGGACACATTTGGTTGTTAGGGATCACTGATATAAACAAAGAGAGTCACAGTCACTTACAGGGAAACACATTATATCATATCAACAGCTCTCTGTGGCTAACATCTCCATATCTACTATACATGGCTTTGCATGCTCTTCTTGAAGGGCGCAGGGGCTCTCTGGTTGCCTTGGTGGCGAAGATTTTCTGAAGCCCGTCCTTATCGAGATTGATAATTGTGCTGAAATGTCCTCTGGTGATGGTTGCTGGGATGAATTTATCACTGAACCCTCAGACCGCAGCCTCAGCGAGCATTTCTCATGATTTGGCTTTTTAAATGGAGTCATTTGAGTCTTTGCTTTTAGATATTACAAGCTGCGGTTAATATTTGGAAAATTGTGGTCAGGTTTGATCTTTTTGTTCATCGTTCTTCCTTATCCCGTTTTTTATCATAGCTGCAAAGAGTGTTTAATGACTGTTATAGGTTCTTTTTCCCACCAGTTAAATACTAATGCTGTCGAATGTCCTTTACGCCATTTCTTGAGGTTTCCTGCACATGCTCTGTCGTCCTCTCTAACAGTGATTGTGTGTTTTCTGTGTGTGTGTGTGTCTCAGACTGTCAGATCTTTGCACCTGCAGTACTATGAGTAGTTTATTGAAGGGTGAAGGCAGGGAGAGAGATGGACAGAGAGTGGAGATGGCCCTACGCCAAATCAATGTAATCACAGCCCTTATCGGACAGCCATTCAATCTGAGAGGGAGCTCGTACCGAGAGAGAGACAGGCTGAGGAAAACAAGGGGAGACAGCAAGGCAGGGCGGGAGTAAAGAAACGCAGAGCTTCGCTCGCATTCAGATGTCTGCACGTGTATCGCCCCCTCCCATTCCTCTCATCTCCTCCGCCAGCCTTTCATTGCCTCTGATGAGCTCCCAGGCTATTGTGAGTCCAGGGTTATTTAAAAGCGACACCCCCAGAAGAAATTCCTGGGGATCGCAGGGCCCGTTCTTATCACACACAGCCAAAGCGGCTCCACCTGAACCCTGAGGGCCAAACGCATCGATGGACCGACTTGTCCTTCACTCCTCGTCCTGCTGTTGAGCGAACGCAAACTGTGGCGGGGCTTTGTTGTTTCGGGATAAGAGGAATCGGAACAACAGCAGATAAAGGAAACATTAATAATGTTCGTGCTCCACTTTTGGAGCTTTGCAGATAGATCGGTGCACATGCATGTTTTACAGCTACACCCTCTTTTCTCCACGTGTTGAAATTCTTATTTTAGCTTTTGCTGTTCTGAGGTCTGATACATATTTGCATTAAGATGATGTCACTGTGAGGAAAGTTACTTGAAAAATGTAATCAGTTACTCATTACATATTAACATCAAGTAATCATCGGCAGTCCATCAGTGGTGCTGTTAAACATTTGATCCTCTGCTGAATTTATAAGTTTGCTCACTTACAATAAAATGATCAGTTACTATTTTTTATTTGTTATTTTTTGGGGAAAGAAATTAAGAGACAGAATATCAACCTAAAATCAGTTTTTTTTTAAAAAAAGAAACATTACATAAAAATTATAAATTAATCTGCATGTCATTGAGTCAAATAAGTATTTGATTTCTGACAACCCAGCTACTATTCTGGCTTCCACAGATTGGCTATATGTCCATGTGGCACACAGATTGCAGTCAATGAATGAATGAATCAATCAATCAATCACAGATACTCCTGATCTCAGCTCATTATTTGCATAAAGCTCAGCTGTCTACAGTATCAATTTCTTCCATTCCATCTTCTCCACCACCATGGACAAGACCAAAGAGCTGTCGAAAGACATCAGTGACTGCAGATCTGCGCAGGCTCGACTGAGCTACAAGACCATCAGCAAGAAGTTTGGTAACAAGGTGACAACTCCTGGTGTGTTCATTCGGCAATGGAAGAAATTGAAAGATGATGGTTCATGGGATGATCATAAGAAAGGTGACAGATCCTCAGCTGAGACCCCAATCACCACGAACCACATTGGTAACCTACTGCACCATAATGGACTGAAATTTTGCAGTGCCTACAAGGTCCCCCTGCTTAAGTAGGCAAATGTACATACCCGTTTTAAGTTTGCCAGTAAACATCTAAATGAGAAGGCTTAGGAGAAATTGCAGGGATCAAATAAAACAAAATCAAGCTCTTTGACGTCAACTTGATGTCTCATTTTTAGAGGAAGGGAAATGCTGTGTGTGACCCAAAGAGCACCGTCCCCACAGTCAAGCAGGGAGGTGGAAACCTAATGCTTTGGGGCTGATTTTTTGCAAACTTTACCACACTAAGACGCCAATGAAGGTGGGCATGTACCATGGTTGGTCTTTTTGCAGGTCTTTAACCACACTGGAGGGGTTTCAAGCATGAATCCCTGTTTAAGGTCATGCATAAGTATCTCAATTGGATTTATGTCCAAACTTTGACTAGGCCACTCCAGCTGTTCGTAGTTTTCCCCAGTTTTCCTCCAGCCTTGATTTGCTGGAGTTCCAAAGTCCTAAAATGCCTTTGTAACCCTTTCCAGACTGACGCTGCTGTTCTTGAGTTGCTTTAGATTTTGGCATGTTGTGTTGACTTTTGAGATATTTTAGTCTACTTCGCTTTGACAAAGACTTTCTATTTAAAGGATTTCCTGATCCAACAGGTTAACGAGTGCTCAGGCCTGGGTGTGGCTAGTAAACTGAACTCAGCTTTCCAAAAAATGTGGTTAATCACAGTGAATTCATAAGTTAACAAGGGGGACTGTTACTTTTTCACATAGGGCAAATAGAGTTTGATAGCTTTTTTTCCCGTAATGAATGAAATCAATTTAAAATCTGCATTTTCCCTTTTCTTGGCTTACCTTTCTTTAAAATCTTGTCTTTAAATTATGTTTATAGAAAGTGGTTTAAAGGATTTGAGCCAGCAACTGTTCATTTATAATCCAGTTGTTGACACAGAAAATGAGTAAGTTCCTCTTTTCACATACCTGTTGCTTCACTTCTCCTCCACTTCTTCTCCACCCAACAAGGCACACATTTACAGCCCTGCAGTACTACAATAATGCAGGATAGATGCACTGTGTACACATGAACGCACAGCAGCCTCAGATATTAAGCTGCTCCTGTGTGTACTGTACAGTTCTGAATCCCATAACCAAAGGCTTTAATTCTGCCTTTTTCATGTCTGCCAAACACTTCCCAGAAGAGAAATTGATCAAGTCCTCAATGGAGGAAACATCAAATTGGCTATTACAGAAACAGAGGAGTCAAGCCCATTGAAGGGAAGAAATGAGCCATGAATGGAGCGAGAGGAGTGGAAAAAAGCAGGATGGATAGGAGGGTCTTTTGTTCAAAGAGGTGCGTCTGCACAAGAGAGAAGAGATGGGTAATACATAAGAGACACGGAGGATTGTTACCGTGGCAGGCGATTCATTCCAGCTCCAAGGAGCAACAGAAAAGGAGAAGTGAGATTGGTAAATGGAAGAGTGAAGACAGGAAAATCAGTGTGGAAAAGGAGGAAATGATCTGCAGGCATGTATTGTGGTATTGTAGATCTGGTATTGTAATATAACAAGCTGTCTGTCAGGCGATGAGATCAGAAGCAACTGTTATTCAGCCGTCACAGAGACTCTGCCTGTTGATTTTCTATAAGGGGAGCCTTTAATGTTGCATGATGTAATAAATAACTCAAGCTGGAATCAAAGACAGCGATTCTTATAGCTGTGATTATTAATGCTCCAGTGTGCAGAATTTACAGGGCTCTATTCCTAGAAAAGTAATACAGCATTGATTTTATTTTTCATTAGCATATAATCGCCTCTAAGTACATCTCTTCTATCTACATAGGGAGTGGGCCCAGTATGCTTCTGTAGTAGTCCAGAAAAGCCTTCCAGTTCTTTAAAGGTAGCTTTACATAAAATACAGCAGTTATCAATGGATAACACATGATCTCAATTAGTGTACATACAAATATACAATCAAAATTTAGTTCTAGGAGGCATTTGTCCTATGTGATTTAACCACAGACTGCATATGACAGATGGCTGAGGCACCCATTTGTTTGTGGACCAACAATGTGAGGTCTCGCATTTGGCATGTTGGCCTTTGTCATGTCGGTTTTTAGAGGCAGAATGTTTGGAGTACAAATTTATCAGCTACTACAAATTAGTTTAGTTCACATCTGTGAACTGTGTGGGTGCGTCGGTCAGACATGGATAAGTGCTAATTAAAATGGTAAATGGCCTGTATTTGTATAGCGCTTTACTAGTCCCTAAGGACCCCAAAGCGCTTTACATATCCAGTCACCCACCCATTCATACACTGGTGATGGCAAGCTACATTGTAGCCACAGCCGCCCTGGGGCGCACTGACAGAGGCGAAGCTGCTGGACACTGCCGCTACAGGCCCTCTGACCACCACCAGTAGGCAACGGGTGAAGTGTCTTGCCCAAGGACACAACGACCGAGACTGTCCAAGCTGGGGCTCGAACCAGCAACCTTCCGATTACAAGGCGAACTCCCAACTCTTGGGAAGAGTTAAATGGGAAGAGCAGGCTACAACAACAGCTGGTTATAAGCTAACATTATGCCAGCTCACATTAGACCCGAGTATCCTTTCCTTTTCTTTCCTTCTGATAAACATTTTGTTTATATTGTCACATTGTAGGAGGATTTATTTGCTAAATGCCTCAGTCAAACTGTTACATCTACTTCCGAGAAAGTTTCATGAACGAACTGCAGCCAACGGCAGCAAAAACAACACTGCTACCTAACAACTCACTTCAGTATGACTGTCATCGATCAAAAGAGAGCTTCTCCGGCTCATTGACCTGTACCGGATCCTTTCAGAAAGTTTTACAGCCTCTTCCAGAGTAAATAAAGGTGGACACTTCTCACTCTGCATTGACAGCTGAGGTAAACAGCAGGCTGGAAGTGTTCCTTAGAACTGGATTTGATCGGTAGGCTGGTAGAAATATGCCGACTGGCCACAACTATTATGTGGAATAATCTAAATATAGTTTTGATCTCTTTTGGCTGACTGAAACATAGCAGCTAGGATTATGTACTTGAATTGGGAGGGGTACAAAAACAGAACTCAGTTAACCGCAATCTGCAATCTACTGACATCTAGTGGTGAGAATTTGACACCCTCTGCAAATCTTTAATACATGAGATAATTTAATGGTTAAGTTGTAAAGCAATCCACACCCGTACTGTGTGAAAGGCATATTAGCAATAGAGATCAAAATTTTTCTTGTACCAGGATTTAAATATAGTTATTTCTGCAGTAAAAATTGGCATTTTAACTTGGAAGTCTCTGGGGATTGACTTGCTTTTTGTACCCAGCCTCAAGTGGCCTTTTGAAGAAACGCAGAGTTTGGCACTCCATATTTGTTACATTTTCTGCCCCAGAAAGTGCCGCTTAGATTCAACATTTTCTCCTGCTTCAGGCTGTACAATCGGGTGCGAATCCAAACTCCTATGCAGCTTCTATGAAACGCCCACGCTGGCCTCTCAGGAACATTTTGCCTTGAGCCCTCATTTGCTCCTCACCCTGCTGTCAGCTCTGTTCCCGCCACAGGCCCAGCACCTCTGCCAGCGCCTGTGTTCTCAGTGCAGGCAGCTAATTCTCTCCACGGAGGCCGTGTGATCGCCACTCACCTCCACTTTCCATCTACCGCTGTCTCTCTTTCACTTTCCTCTGCTGATCACTTTGTGTGCTTTGCTGCGAGGCTAATTATTTCAAAAAGAAATGTAGAGAGTGGAGAACAGAGTGACAGTCCAGTGTAGGCAGCAGTCGATCTTAGAGTGTGGAGATGATATTTACAGCATAAAAAGACATTGCTTATGTGCTTCATTCCTTTTCCAACCTGCTCTCTAAAGGTGTATCAAAACTATAATACTTACATAGCCATCGTATCGTTTTTGTGCATCCCTGCAAACCTGTATGTCTTCCAGCCTCAGAGTGAGGCGAGGGTGGCAGAAGGTTAAACCAAATAACAAAGCAGAGGTTCAGAAAACATACAGATGCAAAATTTCACTCACAAAACTATGTGACATGTCATGATGTCATTTGTATCTTCTTGTCTTCCACATAGGCTTGAGCAGTGCCGATTATCAGCAGCCGGGGAAGGCGTCGTGTGTGAGCGTCAACTGGACGTTGGGTGACGCACAGTTGGAAGTGGTCAACACCGCAACTGGACGGAGACGAGACTCAGGGACACCCTCACGTCTCTGCAAGCACGCCCTGTTCACCCGCTGGAACAGACTGTACCGCAAGGTGAGGGAAGGCACCTGTGGCGAAGGTCAAGTGGCTGAGACCTTATGACACCAATTCACAACAACAGTCACCTCGAGGCCCTTTATATAGTAAATGCCCTACAAAATACAATATAATGTTAAAAAAAACAACAACAATCAGACAAACCCCCTATGACCAAGCACTTAGCAATCGTAGGAAGGAAAAACTCCCTTTTAACAGGAAGAAACCTCCACAGAGGGACCAGGATCAGGGAGGGGCGGGGCCATCTGCTGTAACCGAATGCAAAGAAGAAATACTTGCATGAGCCTGGGCCCATCGCAGCATAACTAAGGGGGATTCAGGGTCACCTGAGCCAGCCCTAACTATAAGCTTTATCTAAAAGGAAAGTTTCAAGCCTGATCTTAAAAGTAGAGAGGCTGTCTGTCTCCTGAATCCAAACTGGGAGCTGGTTTCACAGAGGAGGAGCCTGAAAGACGAAGGCTCTGCCTCCCATTCTATATTTAAATACCAGAGGAACCACAAGTAAGACTGCAGTCAGAGAGTGAAGTGCTCTACTAGCATAATAAGGTACTAGAAGGTCTTTAAGTTATGACGGGCTCGTTAACTACTTGACAAACACCACATCAGTCCAGATCAGTGACTCAGATCATCTGCGTAGCAGACAGCTCCTGCAGTGCAATAAAGCATTTCTTTGAGCCTTGATACAGTTAATACAGTGAGATATATATAAGCTACCTCAGGGTTGCTATGAAGACATAAATTAGCAATAAACACAAAAATAATTTTTCTTGTTTCAGTTTGAAACCTGTTTATTTCCTTTTGTAAAGTTGAGCGTTCACTCTCAGCTCGGGCCTCAAGTGGGTATTTGAGGAACTGCAGTGACCTCCAGATGAGCTTAGTTAACTCCAGTTTTATTCGATTCATCAGAATCACTGACTCTTTCTGCAGGACTTTCTCACAGCAAACATTTAGACTCGATGTTTTAGAGAAAACACCTAAACGGAACGCGGCGCCCGTCACACTAATAATTACACCGTTCTTTTGTTTGCTATGATGTGCGGAAATGTCTGCTGTGGATAAAGTTCCACCAATTGAAAAGTGAATTAAAAATAAACAAAACACTGCCCACATTGTATCTTTTAGTTCCCAGAAAAATATTACGATGTCCTATTTAATTAATATAAGGCTGAACAATAATCACATCTTACAAGTTTCAGCGCTCTGTGCCCTGCAAGTGCTCTCGTGCAGCAAAGCCAAAGGCATCACTCAGTTATTGCTGGAAACAATATGGAATCCACTGCTATTAGGAATCCCGTGCGCACAGCCGCTACACACAAGCATTAACTACAGTGATGCATGCCAGCAGTCAAAAGGCACAGACACGCGTAGAAGCAGAGAGCTGTGTGCACTGGAAATGTGGAATCTCCTCTCTGCCGTAGATACATTTGTCTGCCTGGCAACATCTGCTGTCTGTGCGGCTTATCAAAAAGCTGACAGCTCGGATCTTTACCCGCCGCACTCTCATTTCCATTCTGAAACTTTACGTAACAGACACTGCCTGCATCGCCAAATGGCGGCCGTTAAAGCATAATGACTATGAAACCATAATTATTTGGAGAAGTACTCGAGGAGGCCCCCACCCTAAGTGCTCCCTGCGCGCCGCATATAAGGGGCCACGCAAGAGCAGTCGCACTAATCTCCAAAACAAACTTTTGCTCTCTCCCTCTCTCTCTCCCCACTTGTCTCCCTGCCGATCTTCATTGCCCCCCCACCTCCCCCTTCCTCGTGACAATAGGAATGCACAAAAAGCACAGAGAATGTTCAATTGCTTGTGAAATTTAAATGGGGAGATTACACAGCTGTTGAAGCCCCCCTCCACCCTGCGCCTGCTCCCAGCCCCCACCCAAATGCATTTGTGCCGGCTCATTCGCTTTGTTTTGCTCGCTAAACCTTTCGCCCCTCTGCCCCGGCTTTATTTCTCTCTCTCTTTCTGTTCTCCATCCCCGTCTTCACGTCTGACTCCGCTCTTATCTGACTCTCAATTTCTCTCTTCTTGTGTTTGTTTCCCCTCTCCACCCATCACTTTCTCTCCCGGTCATCCGCGCCCTCTTCAGTTGGGGATCCACGCGTCCAGCTCGGCGGACCGCCAGCTCATGTACGGCGAGGCCAAGATGGCGGCGCGCCCTTACCAGACAGCGAAGCAGCAGTGGTTCAGGTCTCTGCAGGAAATGGGCCTCGGCACCTGGGTCAAAAAACCCCCAGAGCAGGAGCAGTTCCTGCTGTCGGACTGAGTGAGAGAGAGAGTGTGTGTGAGGGTGTGTTTGTTTAAGCATCTCTTTTTTTTAGGGTCCAATGAGTCTATGTTTCACAACCCAGTTTAACCTCTAAACTCAAGGCTGTCAGCCCAGCATGTGTGTGTGTGTCTGCATTTCATTCTCCACGTACACCCAGGACGGCAGGCGGAAGGTTGACTGGACGTCTGAAAAGAAACGGGACACGAGGGTGGAGTTGGTGTTCTTTAAGCACACAAACACACGAGTTTAAGCAAACACCCACCTAAATGTGACCCACCACCACCACCCCCAAGCTCTTCTGTGGCTGTCAGGGAAGGGTGGGGTAACCTTGAGCGGGGATGAAAGGCAGCCACTATCTTGTCATCAGCTATTTCCGGGCCCCAAGGCTCCCGCTGAGGAGTAGAGCCACGGGGGAGAGAGCGAGACAGACAGAAGCAGAGGGAAAAAAGAGAGGGAGAGGTCCTCGTCCAATTACCGGCCCTGTCAGAGTGACGGGTGATAGAGAAAGAGGAAGGGAAGAACGAGTGAGGAAAAAGAAGGACGGAGCGTCGCTTCAGAGCTCACCTTTCTCTCTCTTCCTCGTTCTATCTCTGTCCTCCTCCTCTTAACTCACCCTTTGACTCTCCGTCGCTCCCTCCTTTGCCCTCTTTTCTGTCTCCTCCCTTGCCTCCACCTCCTCGTCCTTCTCTCCTCACCTCTTCCCGCCACGCTTGGAGTTTAACATGACACGAGGACAGGTTAATACACCACCCTTTTTTTCCCCCATCCCTCCCTTCCTCTCATCTTCACCCCTCTGGGTAAAAAGAGAAAGCGAGGTACATAAACGCAGCCATTACAGCTTGCCCTGAGTGCGTGGAGTGATGGAGGAGAAGGGGGAGTGGTGTATTTACTCTCCTCCTTTTGTCTTTTGACCTGCCTGACCTGAGTTTTTGTTTTGTTTCGTTTTTTTCCACCTGGTTTCATGCCCGTTTCCACGCATCTTAATCGCTAATCTTGTCGCCACCAATAGCAGCTGCTTATGGAGGCGAGTCATCAGCCTTGATGCCCCGAGCAAGCTGTCATTCTGTGGTCATGACCACCTTGGAGTGAAGTTTGTTTTGTTTCTTTTTGTAAATTTGCACCTCACACTATTTTATGTCTTTGCATATTTCATGAACGCAGCATTTTACGTGATTTTTTTCCTTTTTTTGTCCTTTTAAATCAGTTAAATGTTTATAGTCTTCGTATTGCTCTGTCATTGCCGTTTTTGTCTCTAGTCAAGGTAGCGCTGCGGCCCAGTTCAGAGTAGTGAGAGTGACATCTAGTGGTCGCTCTTGTGTTTTGTCCTGCCCCTGCTGTGAGCCCCTGTCCTGGCAGCATTACAGTGTCACAGCTGGAGAGCTAAGCCTTTACTGGAGATCAGACGACTGGACACACGGGCGGCTTTACACAAAAACTGCATGTGGAAGAGTTTCTTCTTACATTTGAAATTTTAAAAAGCTGCAGAAGTGATTCTCCACATAAAAATGTGTTTAACAAAATGCTTAAAAACTGGGCAGTTTGCACTCAAACACACTGTGTGACATCCCCTTTTACCTAATTATGCACCCCTGCCTGAGAGACCAGGCCTCAGGGTTTATGTTGCTCCCTAAACCTGGATTTATTATGATCGTATTCATAATGACATTATGATCACCTGTGCAGCACTGAGTGACTGGGTGTTGTTGTGATTGGACTTTGCGATGAAGATTAATAGCACTGGAGCTGCCGTCTATAGGTGACTCTTAGTGACCACCACCTCTGTGGAGTCACTGTATTCACATTCTTTCATTCATGCTGGCAGCCGTTGTTGTGAGCAGCATAATCGCCTTGTTAGATGTTTAAGAAGGAGGCCATTCATCCTTGCTGTTGTCCAAACGGTGAGAAAACGCAGACCGTCAGTCGCGCTTCCTGCAGGCCCCAGATGTGTGTTTACATGTTAGAGGAGGCAAAGTTACCGTAAGCTAGAAGAATGCACCGGGTTTTTTAAAAGTTTCTTGACAAAGTCTTAATATGAGTGGAAACTGTGTCATTGTGTATAAATCCAGCTTTAGTAATGGCAGTTTTAATAGATTCAACTTCATATGGACCTGTTACGCTCATTTCTGTATTTTTATTCTTGCTTTGCATTAGCCACACCATTCTATCTTTATCTTAAACTGGGACTAAGTGCAGCCCGTTGTTATCTGAAATAAGCCATTCTACCTCCTCTCCTGTTAAAGCTCCTTTTCGGAAATACCCTCTGCAGAATTGAAGCTGAATTTTCACCCCCAGGGGGCAGCGATTTCCCCCAGGCTGTGCTGAGGTGTTTCAGATGCATGCTGATGTTTAGCTTGTCCTTCTGGCTACACCCATATCCTCAAAATGCTCCAATCATAGGTAACTTCCTTCTCAAGTTATCACGTTAACAAGATTTTCAGAAAACTTGACCTCTGACCTTGACGTTGAGGTCGAAGTCATCCAGTCTTTAAGTGATGGCGTGATGAACCCTGCTTCCGGGCCCAAACTACTCTGGATTTAATAAGGCTGTTGTGCCTCTCTCGGTTTTTATTACTGCTAATCATTTTAAAGCGCAGTTTTCAAAACCTTATGATGCAACTACAGCCCAGCCCATGCAGCAGCAGTATATGAATGTCTAGCCTCCTATTGATGGATTATCTCAGTGGTTCTCCTGACTGACGTTTGGTCCGTTTGCAGCATCCTGTTTGCAGCATCCTGTCATGTGATTGCATTTGTCCCTAACCACTGTGAACACTCACGTTAACTTTATCGAGTGGAAAAAAGTCCTCCGTTCGTTAGCGTTCATCCTCCAGATTCCCTGTTTGTATTCTGCTAACATAGCTGTGTCGCTAGCGATCACGTAGCATATCATTATATACCAGCTAGCACAACCCTACAAACATCACTTCTGTTTGCTTTCCTGCATTCATTTATGTGGGAAGTGATAGCAGAGCTGTACGTCTTAATTTGTTTCAGAAATGTTCAGAATGTTCTGTCAGAACATGTTATATTATGTTTAGATGGAAACTAGCTAACTTCCTGCTAACTTTGAACTCCATTAAACTTCATAAATTCTGTTTTCATGGATGCCTGGATGTTAAACTTAATTTTTACGCCTGGTAGAGCAGGAACGCTGATCATTTTATTAGAGATGAAAGAATTTAGACAGTTTTTCAACTCTGAGTGATGCTGCAGTGATCGTTTGACTTCGGGACCTGCAGCAGAGTTTGGGCCCAGACACGGCTAATGACGTCAGACTTAAAGACCGGACTGAGATTCGAACTTGTCCAAGAATTTCAGCAGATACGGTCGGGTAGCAAGTGAAAATCATAGGTGACATCTTGTCTTCACAAAGTTGGGGGTCCATGTCGGCCAATGGGGTGACAACAATACTCAGTCATCAGCCTTTTACAGCTGCGGGGTAAGAAGAACGTGTAAAATGAAGGCTACATTTACTCATGACGCCTTCTTGTGGTACAAATCAGTTTCACACTAAAGTACAGCTTGGCCCTAGTTCGACTCCATTTAATGTCTCGTCTTAAGTTCAATTTGGAAGGTTTGAAACAGTTTTATACAAAGCGATGTTCAGGATATTGAGCCTCTGTGTGAAGCCTGGGTTTTTGGCTCACGGGGATTATTTACCCTGGTATTTAAAACTTTGGCCACGTTTAATACAACCATCAACCACTAGAAAAGTATCCACATCCATTACAGAAAAGCACAAGAGGTCCTCTTCGATGCGCTCACATTTGATGTAGCTAATGCAACATTGTTAATCCAAGCTAGGCTAATGGGAGTTTCAGTGAGAGCACTCCAGTTTTTAGACCTTACCTGTGCTAAAAAAAATGCAGCAGACTCAAATCTCGGATTTTGTGTAAACGCCGTCTGTGTGTCAGAACAGAGTTGGTCCTTCATCGCATCGCGCTGCACATTAGAATTTCTGAGAAGCCACATATTCAGACTTGCTTTGTCGACGTTTGTCATCGTTTCTGCACCATGTTCGATAGTGGCTTCATCAGCCATCACACAGATTTTCACACATTTATTTTCAGAGATATAATAAATATAGGCTGTGTCTGAATGGCAATATTCTACAAACAGTGTACATATGTAAAAAAAAAATAGAAAAAGTATAAAAGACAAAGTTGACAAAGATGTGAAAGAGATTCTAAAATGTCTAATTAAGATGTAAATTAAAGTCTATGAAGAATTGCTGCTAAGGTCTGTAAATTGCACTTCAGTAACAAATACAAAGTGAATGTTTGTACTGTATATGTGAATAAAACCTCAAAATCTTGTAATTTTATTTTGGTCTTTGAAGTTTTTTTCTCGTCACATTTACTGTCAGTTTGATTGCAGGGTGAAAGAGAACGTTTGACCCGGTAGATGGAGAATATTTGGTCTATACTGAGCACTGATATTGGCCTGTTCACATTTTCTCATGGCCACCTTTTTGTGCCATCATATTCTGAGGCTCAGAGCATCCAGACTATTATTAAAGAGGCCTCCCTTCTCCTGCATCTCCCAGGGGAAATCCATGGGGAAATGGTTAATCTCTGTTAAGCTCAGTGGCAGGTGTCACACAGACCAGCCACCAAAAATTAGCCTGGAGGAAGGATCGAGTGAGGACGAAGAGGGGGGAGGTGCAGGGAGTTTAAGGCATGTCTCCTCAGTAGCTTCCACCCCTTCCCCTAAGGCCACGGAGTCGGCTGTGTGCTCAACAATATACATCGTAATTGACAATTTGCTCCAGCGGCTGGTCACAGCCAGCCAGCTCTAATCTAATGGACGAGGACGGAGAGGTGAAGGTCCACAGCATATTCTGACTCCCAGTTTCATGCTGCTTCTCAGTGAAATCTAGGAACCAGAACACATGATATTGTGTCATCATGTAGGGTTACACCAGTGGGGTATGGTCTACAACAGTTTCAGATTTAAAAAAAAAAGATTTTGTTTAAAATAGAAATAAAGCATGTAATAAATCCTTAATTCTATTCAGGTAGACGGTAAATATTAAAAATGCACTGGGACAAAGACGTTCTCAGTTTCTGACAGATGGTTACAATATGTCAAAACTAAGTAGGGACAAGTGGCTCAAGATTAGCAGGAACATGTGAACTCGTTAAATCTGGGGAAAAACATGATGAACTAGTTTGGAGGGACATTACGCCTCCATCGGAGGCCGAAAGCTAACGGTAACATCATCCACTGAAACGTTGTTTAAGAAGAAACAAATATTACAGAGGAAACTGAACTTGTGCAAACTTAATTTCTTCAAGTTGAACACTAGACCATAATAAGTGTCTGATCAGAGGTGTGGCAGAGTTTTAAGCTGTGTCTCATAGTAGTTTAGTGTACTGCAGATATGAATGTCTGCGAGCTATGTGGGAAACCAGTTTTTCGCACTTGCCTGTTTAGTTCAGAAAAACAATCTTCACAAAATGATGCCACTTTTATTTTTTCAAGTGTACATGTTATTGCCCAGACTTACTAAACCAGCCTCGCGACCTCAACCTTTAATTTCTGCAAAAATATGAAAGCTTCATATGAAAAATTTTAGTTTGTGTTATCCCCAGACTTTATTTCAGGGATCAAATCAGAAAATCACTGATTTCAAGATGAGGGACCCACAAGCATAAAAATGCTCTTTTCCAGGTTTCCAATATTATTTACTTTGTTAAGGTGAACGTTGTGTTAACTCAGTAGATGAAAACATATTTATTTACGAACTGTGTGCTTCAGAGAGGCTGCCACATTGTTACTGGTTGGAGATATAATCATAACTTAAATCATTATAACTTGTTGAATTTTTAATCAAATCCCAAGCTTTTTTGCTTTGGTGTTATCACTGATAACATTTTCTGATTTCCATTAGCCTACTGATTGGTTCTTTCTTTATATAGTTAAGGAGGTGGTGTCTGGGCATCCTGAGCCAAGCCCCTTGTTGAGCTGGGGAAGCAAAAGAAGCAGACGGATCCACTTTATGTTCTTGGACATTAGTGAAAAAGAGAAATAGAAGAAGTTGAACACTAAGAAATAAAGTAGCTGCATGCCTGCTCTGTGCATCGCTGTGGCTTCCACATGGCTTCCTTTAAGAATGAGTTAACAAGCAAATTAAAAGTCTCATTAAATCCACACACCTCTTAAATCTGTTCTCATCAACACCAGTTTTACATTGTTTGTCGAAGCTACCTGATGAATAAAGTGCGCCTTTCAAAAACACATCTGAAGTGAACAAAAGGGAACAAGGGACTTGTGTTTGAATAGGATGAAAAAGAGATGTGAGACTGGAAAAAGGAAATCACACGTTTTATTGGAAAGTGTCAAGAGAGCACGTACCCGTCACAATAAAGTATGCAAAGTAGATCACATAATGAAGTTTGAGGTGAATATGATTCGCTACAGTGAAGCAAAGCCCATCCACTCTATTTTTTTTTTACCCCTACAGCCTGGCACGCAATAATTTAATGTATCAATCCAAAATCATATTTCCTCCAGGTTGAAATTCATAAGCGGGGCACGAATCGGGCCGTGCCGTTCTACCTGCAGATTAAAATGACATTGATACCGGTGGGCGCCAAATTGAGTTCCCTGAATGAAACAGGAATAAAAATCCTATCTTTGCTGTGCTCGGGAACACAATTAGTTCTTTAACAAGCATTTGGAAAAGTGCACTGATGCTTGGATGGATAAGGCCCATGCACCGGGTTTTTTCTCCTCAATGCAATGTAAGGCATTTCAATAAGATTATTACACTTTCAGATTCATGCTACTTCAGAATGCATCCCGTTTGTGTTGTGGGTAGAAACAGCAGTGAAGTCTGAAGCCAGATTTTTCAGTAAGTCACCTTTATACACCGAGCTACAGCTACAGCAGTCACACAGGTACACAGAGTCTTTTGTGTGGGTTTTACAGCACTGAAGTCGATTAAACGTGTGAGAAACTACAGCATGACTTCATGTTTAAAATATTGCACAAGTGTAACAATTGAAGCTTCCTGGAATCCAGTTAAGCCTATTTCTAGGCAAGTCAGAAGTCAAACTGAGATTCAGTGTGTATTTCAAGTTATAGTCACTGATTTCAAAATGGAAGAAAACAAAAAAGAAAGACCCGGACTTCACTCCGAGCACCAGAAACATCAAGTCAAGCTGGGTTATTGCTTCTGTTTTTGGATAAAGAGCGCTCCGTGCAGAGAGTAAAAGCGCCGCCAGCGACAAAGATGCAGGAAGTTATAGAAGACTGAGGGCTCAACACAAACTGCGAGAGCATGTTGACAGGAGCGCTACTGAAGCACAGAAATGACCTGACAAGTTCACTTAAGGATCACACAGTACAGCAACGCAGGGCTCAGGAGCTGGCAGCAAGCTAAAGAGGACGAGTCTATACCGAGCTTATGGACACCAGCAGCACGTAGGGAATACTGGAATATGATAATGCACAACACATTCCTGTTCACAGAGTCATTATTGCTATGCTCTTGACACTTTACATCCTCACAGAAAAGGCAGAAAAAAGCAACATGTTTAAAAAAAATAAAAATCCACTGTAAACACAGAACAAGGCAGAGTTACAGTTTCAACTATACTGGAAATATGGAGGCTGGCTGTGAAACTGAAAGCATCAAAGGTAACAGGCAAGGGAGCGAATCTCAATCTGTCAAAGGTTTCCCACAACGCCTCAGACGCCGTTTGAAGCGCTCACCGACTGGCCCGGCAGCCCGCTCGCTGCACAGGTGATATGACGGAGATTTGTGATATGTTCCGATAAGAAATCTTCCAAATATTTGACC